TTCGCAGCAGCGGATACACTCGCTCACAGAACTTGCCTGAGCACAAATTGGTTGATATTGCTTGGAAGAAGCTCTTGTAAATTTCCTTTCGCGCATTAAAAGCAAGTCCAGTCTACTCTGTCTTCCCCAGATTTTGATTTAAGAAATATTTTAAGGTCGAAAATAACCACTATTTATGACAATAGTACAACGACACCTTACAAGGGAACGCAATTTGCTCATCGAACTGTCGATGGTGCTGCTTAGCCCATTGACATTTAGGTTTTTCTTTCGTGGTAGTTCCGCCCCCTACGCCGTTGATTTTGGCATATCCTATACCGCACACAACGTATTGCCGATCCGTTATACAGATTTTGGCAGGACAGTTGACGTGTTAAGAGACAGCCGTACAGGAAGGGAGATGAAATTTTGCAAAATAATACACACACGAGTTTACTTGAAAACATTAATTTTCCCGTCAATTGTGTATTTTTTCCTAGTAATCAAAACGGAGAACATTCTTGTGCTAGACATTTTGCAATGACAGCTTCAAAGTAGAAATTCCGCTCGCTTTCAAGCTGGCCTTTTGCCGCACTTCTGAGTATATTTTAATGCAGACGATCATCTCTCGAGCACGCGTAAGCCATGATGATTCAGCCACAGCCGTAAAGTGCAAAGGTATATTTAAGAAAAAGCCTGTTGTACAGGGCGAACAGAAGAGGCTGATGTCATAAGTACTATTGTTTCGAATTAAAATAGACTGAAAAATCCGGTTTACAAGTAGCCAGCAGCCTTGAGGGCGAGTTTGGCCATTTCGATGGCTCCATTCAGAGTCGTGTGTTCGACCATGAATCGGCCGGAGTGCGCAAAAATGCAGCCACTGATACCGACGGCCTGGTCCAGTTCGCGATCTCTTTTGCCAGCCCACGCCTCCGGAAATAGAACCCTAAAGATTCACAGTTTTATATACAGCGTTATGGTATTTAGCAAAAAGTAATGACGGCATTTTACTTATCGCTTCGAAAGTTCTCCACCTTAATTCCGTGATACAACAGTAAAAAAAGCCTTGTTCCACCAAATGCACGAGAGCACACAACATTGAGGGACTAAGCTCGGTAATATCCGTGCGAATTAAAATGATGGTAGACTTTCGGGGCATCGTAGTGGCCTTATAGCGCCACTTCTTTCTCCGGCGTAACGCCTCACCTGAGGTCATGTGATGGCAGTCTCGGTCGCCTGTAGGATACCCAACCACAGGTGACAACTCTCAAAATTTCACGGTAAAGTGTGGACACAACAAAGCCTGTCTTCCGTAATACGTCTGGCCAATAACCTTTCACGGTTGAATCACACATAATCTGTCCTCGCTCCGTATTAAGGCAGAGTCAAGAAGAATTGAACCGGCATCGGGAACAGGTGTTTGGCGCAACAAACTCCGCACTTTAGCATCCAACCACGTTCCCTGGTTCACCACAAACTTTCAGGATTTTACCAACAAACAGGAGGTTAGAGGCAGCAACATGGGTTCCAGCTACCACAGCCTTGGCGTGCGTGCAAATGCCTACAACCGTTCATCAGAAGAAGAAGAAGTGATCACTGGAATAAGAGGTTTATTGTCCTGATGTTTCGGATTCCCTCGGGAATCCTTAATCATACGTAATAGTAGAACAGTCTGAGACATGCGCAGATAGGGCCCTTCTTACCTATGTTTTAGGATTCCCGAGGGAATCCAAAACGTCAGGACGATAAACCTCTTGTTCCAGTGATCGCTTCTTCTCTTGATGAACTGCTTCCTGGAACTCGTATATTCTCCTCTATTGGCACTCAACCGTGCCAGAACCTTCACGTGTTCAGACTTGTAAAGTCTTCTGAGAGACAAATTAGACGCCGGCATGAAATCTATATAGTACCAAAGCATTGTACAACTGAAGGGAAACATATCCAATTACTGTAACTTTCTTCCTTTTTGCGATCAATGACATAGCAACATCTATGAAAAGACCGCGCACAGAAGAGCATTTTGAAAGGGAAGACAGCTCATGCTTTTTTGATTTTCAGTCAGGGTCATGGGGATGCCTTAAAGCACACTTATTGGATTCGAGTTTAACAGATACCAAACGGGGTCTAGAAAATGTCTGTGACCTACCGCCTTGAGAAGGGTTCAGCTTCACTGATTGGAATAGCGGTGACGTTGCAACCGCTATTTCTAGGCATGACAACGAATGCAGGTCGTCCGTTGAAAGGATGGGGGCCCTTGGCCTGTGTAATAATCTCTTCTTCCTTTTCTAGCTCAAGAATGTGGTCCATGCAGGGGCAGCCTGGAGTGGTCAGTAGAACAATCATTCCAGAGGGATGGACGGAAAAACGTGACTTAAGCGCATCCTTCACAATGGATTTAGCCGGTAGCCACACCTCCACTAAACGTCTGACCTTTGTCACCAATTCGTCAGATGCCAGAGCTAGCGCATTGAAGAAGCATCTCTGCAAGAAATAAGGAATAAATGAGATCATCGGTAATAAAGAATAGGCAATCTGGTCCTTAGAGTTTTTATTTGCGAATGACTTGGAGCAATAATTTATTTTAACATTTCTAGTAGCCCGACTTTCCATCTTTTCGCTAAGTTCCGCCAATACACGGTTGAATTTCGATCAAGAGACATCAGTTGCCTCAGCAGCAGTTTACTGAAAATATCTTCACCTTGTGGAGAGTTACAAGACATGACATCTATATAGCACGCACCAGGAGTACCAATATTTAACACTAAAATTGGCATGATACATGCATTAATGTACATAACGTTACGACACGCGCCAAGTTATTGTAAGTAGCATGAACATTGATTTATCCGACGGGTACTCAAGGCCCGTACAACGGAAACAAGAGGAGAGGAGCGATCACGAGACAGAGTGTATCCACAAAAAAACCGTTAGAGCAAATCGTTCTCACACAAAGGCTCAATGCATTTTTGTGGCCGTGAAAGAGACATAGTACGAGACAATGGACCAATCACAATTGAGCACACAAGACTGGCCGTGGGAGGCAGATCGCGACGTCATTGTGTGTGTTGATTCATCATTGGAATAGCAGCTCTCCCAACATATAATAAACGGCAAAAGTCGCTTATGTAGGCCCACTCATATACCCCTAGACCAAGCATTTTGTCTTGCAAAAACAGCGGTTATATGGTTTTGGGGGGTGGGAAAATAGGACAGGTAGAGAAGGAAATTTTTAGAAGTAAATGTTAAGTGAAAAAAAATGAAGTCTAAGTTGCTTCCCGTGGCCGCTGGGAGTAAGTTGTTCCGCATGTAAATTGAAGTTGTGCGCAGCGCTTCGCGCCGCGGACTATACTAATCTAACTCCAGAACGATAAGTTGGACCTCAGGTAAGTTAAAGTAAACGAACTCCTAACCATCATTTAAATTTATCGGGAAATTCAAGAAACCTGCAATTTGATAATTGGGTTTTTCCGCAATAAGCTAAACATTTATACAGATTAGGAAAATTTACAGATTTAAATCAATAAACTTCTAAATAGAGCAAAATAAAAATGCATTTAGCATTTATTAAAGTATATTCCACTGCGTGTCCTTATTCCACACCCATAACATCCTATAACCACAGTTTTCGTAGGAAAACATGCAGGGAGTAAGGATTAATAAGTGGACCTACATAAGCTACTGTTGCCTAATAAACTGCTCCCAACCCTTGGCGTCTCATATTCCTACCGTTCCATGAGAAACCGCGCCGATAGATTGCAGTGGCAGAGGTTTTCTCGATTAGCTTAATCCCATGTTATTGGTTACCCGTGACATGAGCTGAAATCGCAACTTCTGATTGTGTCTGCGCTCAATCGCCGTCAACGTCTCCTTTGGCTCCAATGGAAATTCCTGTGTCATTTTATGTAACCGCGATATGGCGAAATCAAGCACCGACATCCAGTCGCAAAAACATAAAAGATAAGCTTTTAACCATTTTTAAACTCGCAATACCTTCTTAACCAAAAAAGCTAGCACATGTCACCAAAAAATTAAATTTAAATAAATCAAAAATTAAACACAGGCTCAAGCCCTACTTCGACATGAATTCCTCAGATTTACGTGGAGGGGGTCATTGTTAAAAGTGGATGGACTGTGTCGTACTGAGCAGCCACACAGGCTAACGAACACTAGATGGAACTTGTAATTGTCAAAGACCATAAGTCTACGTGACTTGCTTAGATTTCCGTGGGGGCATTGTTATCTGTGCAAAGACTTCCCCGTAAGTGGGAAACAGCCGAAGTCAAACAAGTAAATTAAGTCATATCCACTTCCAGTAAAAAAGCAGACAGTTTTGCGGTAGTAGCGAATTCGAAACGTAACTTCCCGCGCTATTCATTCACGCTGCTTTGTCTAAAACCCCTGTTCTCTCTCCAGCTGTTTAACCTACGTTATTCTGTTTGTGCCCTAGACGAGCACCAGAACACTCTGCTTATTTTTCTGAGCTTTCAAACTCATACGAGAGTTCATCGTCAGAGATGACATCAGCAGCTTAAAAGGAGACAATTATACAGGGTGTCCCAAAAATATGTATACATATGTTACATAATTAGAAAATTGGTGTTTATGATTATTTTAGTATTTAAAAATGCAAAAATGTCTTAGCATCATTTTCTTGTTTTTTCCTTGAATGTTCTCAAACTGACGTCCATTTTTATCATGACGCTGCTGAAGACGCAATGCAACGGAATTGCACACATACCATGAAACAATTCACTTGGTATTCGGGTGCATTCATGCTCAATGGCTTCGCTCAATTCCGCTGCTGTTGATATAGTCAAAATGCATTGAAAAAAACAATAAAATGATTCTCTTTAGTATAGTTTTCGGTTGTGATATAATAAAATTATACTAAACGACAAGTTTACGATTATTTAAAATGTGTATACAGTAGCCGCCAAAGATCATGCAACATTTCGAGGTTTGCGAAAGACTGATACTCTTGTGCTAGTCGGCAATGACTCAAGTTGTGATACTGATTATCGTGTAGTATATTGTGAAGTCATTTCTGTCATAAGAGGATTAGGGCTTTCTAACTAATTTCGTTCTGGCCAGTAGTAAAACGTATCAACTGTAAAAACCGGCTACTTAATTAGTGTGCCTTTTTATCACTTATTTTGCTGCCTTTAATAAATTCAAATATATTTTATGGAAAACATGCACAAAAAATTATTTCTTGTAATTGTTTGACAGCAAGTTACGTCTTTTTAAAATTTTATACTCAAAGGGAGAGTAGGTTTCGGTTTTTAAAAAGTTACTAATCCTGAGCTTTTTTTGGATTGTGAGGTCTTCATTCATAATACATCGTATCGGTCAATCTACCAATGCTGCCCATGCTGCATAAAATATTTTCCAAAATGTATTTCAATATTTTATGACTACTATGTGACTTCTTTCTCAAACTATAGGTGAAAACATACTTTTCCTTAAACAGGATGTCCACGGTGCGCAGTTTTTAAACCTTGAATTCGAGTGTAGCAGTCACTAGTTTAGAAA